GCCGTGTATTCAATAAAATGATAGGAGCAATGCAAAGTCAAAGCAATTCCTTAACCTGGCTAAAAAGAGGCCTCTGGTGGTAGGTGTGAAGTACAACTTCTCAAAGTTTTATGAAATATGTATTTTGATGATATAACTTTCTACATAGAAACATATCCACAGAAGTAGACTAAGCAGTCAGGTACTTGCAATGAAAATCATAATATATTTCTGCTCTCGTCCAAAGCACCAACCATTTCAGTCCATCCTTCTTCACGCCTGCACCAGTTGGTCAAATAAGTCTTAAAGTTGTATACGTTTCCAAGTAAGCAAAACCACTTAAACGTTGCATTTTTAAACAGTTACATTAAAAACTTAGCAAGTGATTTCACCATTAAAGACGATAACAGTTAAGTTAAGGTTAGAGGCCTGCTTACTCCCTGAGATCAACTATGAAGGCTGCTTGATTTTGTTTATAAAAATATGTACACTGACAAGTAAAACTTACAATTGCATTTTTACATGAATATGTGTTTCTAGGATAAGCTTATGACTTTCCACTATTGCAGAATAAAATATATGAGACTGGCAAATGCATATGACTTCTGTAAAATAACAGCTCCTTTACCATACCTGAATGACACTGGACCACAGAGAAAACTCATCTTTAAGTCTGGGCCAAATTCTAGGAACATGATTAGCAACAATAACATAGCTTACAAGATAGACAGATATAAGGCTTCCTGCCCTCTAGAAAGAGCCAGCAAACAGAAGATATGTAATAGTGTAGAGAACTGTAACAGAATTATTAAGGTTGGTATGAATAAAATGTGAGTAGAAATGTGTAGGCACACAGAACTTGAAAGCAGCAACAGCACAAGGATTTAACAAAATAGCTTGTACTGATAACAGAGGACATCATACCCAGCAGTAAAACTGACGAATGTTTTTTAATGACAAAAATCTAAAGTCCTGCTCTCTGAGAAGACCACAGCACAGGCTACTCATCAGCAGAAGACCCTGCATCCCAAGATGCAGGGGTGGCATATCCCAATGCCCAAGAGGGTGGCATATCACATGTACCGTTCCTTTTCCTGTTAGCCCAATAGGAAAACAGACAACAGACTTACTTATTTTTTAAAGATATATTTAAAACGAGGAAAATCAGACAAAGGGCAGCAATCTGGCGTAAGATTTATGGAGGCTGTCATAAGCAAGATGACTGGAGTGAAATCAATCCCACTGCCTACCAAGCCCTCACAAAGACAACTGCAGCAACAAAATGGACAGTTGAAGACCTTCTCTGGCATGCCCAACTTTTTTATTGCTCTCTTTTGGTTCTTGACATTGGCATCGCAGGAAGGGCAAAACTAAAGTACAGCAACTCCGGCCACTGGAAGTGATTTTGAAAGGCCACTGCCATTTGCAACAATTGCACTAAATAGTTCTTCTAGGGACTATGATACAGCAAGCAGCTAGAAGTAGATTTCCATCCTTTTATGAATGTTGGCAATTAGCTTAAAAGCTATTAGCGACATATATTAAGTTAAAAAGTTTCAGTGTTAAAGTACCAAATGCAAACCACTAATTATTTTCAGTTGAGCAAAACACACAGAATCTTTAGAGGAAGGTAATTTAACATTTCTCCTGCGCATCTGGCCAGCTTGCATCCATACTACTGCAGGAATAATGCTAAACATTTATTATTTGGCATTTATTATAATAATCAGAGGCACTGCCTATCCAACGTGCACTCTATTTCTCTTGAAATAGCTCACCTAATAGCAAGAATCAATCCCATCAACAGATTTAGCAGCAACAGGACTATCTGTTCCACTGTTTTATTTATGCCAGAGTTACCTTAAGGGCTTTTCAGGATGGAAGATAAGATTAAAAATAGTCTGTGAAGATTTTGAAGTACAAATTTGCAAGAAATTGTACAAATAAAAAGCTCTGCAGAATACATAACATTTCATATGTACAGCTGCATTTTTATCCTGGTTGTGCTTCAATGCAGGTCCAATCTAATGAGAGTCTTAACTGCTCTTTCGGTGAAATGCTTTGGAAAAAAAGAAAAAAAAAAGCTAAAAAATTATTAATTTTACTTGTCTAGAAAGGTTTGTAAAGGATTTATTAGAAATAAGTTGAAATAGTACCAGCTACTAAAGTACCAGCTACTGCCAAAGTTTCTTTATATTGATGACTACAATTCAATACCTTTCATTTTTTAAAGAGAAAGTACATCAGTGTATTTCATGCTACTTTGGAAAACAAACACTAAAAAACACTTCAACCGAGAAAAATGAAAATTTATATGAAGCAACACATAGCAACGTGTATAAATACACAACTAGTAACACAGGCATGACTGGACAAAGCACTGCCAGGAGTGAACTTCTAACATGATCGTTTTCTTCCATAATCTGCTCCATCCAGACCCACTTACAAACACTCAAAAAAATCAAAAGCGTAAAATTCACAGTGCAGAGAAGTACAGGTTTTATCATAAGGTAGCAGACCAAGAGCCCATCCTGCTCTTTCGCATGTTTAATCTATTTTTGCTTTACCTGACCAACAGCAAGCCACATACTGAGCAACTACAGAATGACAAACGGCATATGTATGGAAAAAATTACTTAAAAACAAAAAAAGTACCATTAGATAGAGGTGTGACTGATCTGCTCCGCATACATATTCATACAATCTGCCTTAGCTATAAATATGACACAGTATTGCTCTACATTAGCAACTGCAGGCAGGGAAGGTGCTTGCTTGATTGATTCACACACCCTCCTCAAACCCACAGCTTTTCTCATCCCTACAGTCATGCTAACTCAGTACATTACAGTCACTAGGTGGGAGCTAACTCAGCTGCAGACATCCCTCGAGCTCCTCGAGTCCAGCAGCACAACACGAGCTAACGTACAGGGTGATTGAACTCGGACACGAGGAGACGTTAGCCGAGCTTCTGCAGGGCTCTGGCATTGCTAGCTTAAGCGCGCTAGCCATGCCAGGGGGAACAACAAGCCTTCTGCTCACCTGTAAACGACTGAGCCTAAAACAAGGGAGCTGTTAATGTAAAGTCAGAGGCAAACCTTTGGCTATGCTCTAACCGTTAATGCCACAAGCAATGCAAAGAAAAGCACCAGTGAAGCCTGAAAGGCTCTCATAGTCGAGGGTGTGTTGACCGAGCTTACGCTTACCCACATTCATACTGACACTGACACTGGTTAGCAGCTGCTCTGTCACAGTTCTACAGCAGCTTGATAAAAAGTGGTTTCATGCAAGAGACTTCAGAATAATTATCATGGGGTAGCTATAATAAAGGTCTGTCTATAAAAGTATACCCAAAGTAACGATGCTAACACTTATTTTGCAGAATCTAAGTTTATTCATGTTATTATAATGTGAAGTACGTCATTAAAATCAAAAATGAATGCAGGTACTATAAGTAATACACAGAAAAAAAATGCTAATTCTGAAACAGCAGGAAAAAAATCAGGTAATAATTAGAAAAAAAAATTAAAATTTCCACATAAAATGCTACCTTTTAATGAGCTCTGGGTTTTTTTTTATTCCTCAAATGGCACTTTTACAAATTGTACCTTGGGGTTCTTTCTTTTTAGTTTTGATAAATGCTTGTTAGTGGAAAAGTAAGGCAAATTTAGCATTTGTTATCCCTTCATAATCAGTTCTGTGACTGATAACAAATCATCTGTGGGGAACACACAGTCGTGTGCGTGCTTTTCTGATGACAAATACATAAAAGAACTAACAGAAATTCTGAATGTGTTATCTGAATTACACAATATACACATTCCAGTTAGAAACAAAATATCTAAGTGGGAAGGGGGAGCATTTAAAATGTCAGGAGTTCCAACATCTAACAATATAATAGTTTTGTTCTCTTTTAAATATCCAGAAGCCCATTTGAAAATTTTGTCAACTCTAATGTTTGAGTGCTTTTGACAGGAACTTTAATTTTATCATCTAGTTCTTCAGTATTTACTTCTACCATTAAAAAACAAAGGGAACAGCAATCTATATTTTAGTTTCCAGTTTCTATGCAAGTGCAACATAAATTTTGAAGAAAGCAGATCTGAATATCCTATACACAAGGAAGCATTTTCTAAATAAAATACTACTCTTCACTGTGAAAAAAAGTCACTGATACAGAAGAAACTAAATTTTTTAGCATTTCAGCAAAGCAGAATACATTTCCAAAGACTTTTTCAAAAAGTTTCTCTTCCCACTTCCTTTAAGGTCCCCCCAACAGCTCTTAACTTGCTGAAAATAAAGCAGCACAAGCAAAAAAGCCAGGGGACCAAGCTGTACTTAACTACAACAACAGCTTCCCTTAGTTTCTCAGTACGTGATGATTCCAGTTCACCTCCGAATGCTTTGGTTTTGCAAAGATTTCCGTTCAAAGACTCCTATATAGCAGACAAGTAATTCACGCTACCCATGAATTTCAGACTGGATAGTTTCAGAACAGTGAATGCTGCCTTTCTTCCCCAGCCTCAGAATTTATATACCTTAGATCAAAACAACTATTTCTAGAAATATGGATTAAAGAAACCAAGGTACATTAACGCATACCTAAAACTGGACAGAACTTTTGGTGTAAGATAGCAAGAAAAAAAAAAAGAAGATAAGTATTTAGTCTGATCTTTTCAAACCGAAAGATGACAAAGATTACGGAAAGAGCCAGAAATCATAAAAACAACAGTTGAAGCATAGGTCAGATTAAATCCTGTGTCTGCTTCAACGCAAAGAACATACAAACTCTATTACTTTGAGCTCTGAAACATAATTCTGTCTTAGTGCTAAAGCAAATGTTTGGTTCATATAACTCATGCTTACTCTTCATATGCAATACAGAAAAAAAAATTGAAGCCCTCAAATACTTACAAAGAACACAGTCTCATTATTCACATTAAAACTATTGTTACTCATAGGTATATCCACCCCTCTTCTTTCTCTCTCTTTTTTGTTTATTTAAACAAGCACCATGTTCCTACCTTGCAAACAGTCTCTGTATCCCAGGGTAGGATGGTCCTCAGATCAATAACTTCACAGGATACACCAAGTTTTTCTTGAGCCATTGTTGCTACCTCTTTGATCACATGTACCTGAAAAGGCAATGTATTATCACCAAATACTTGATTTCTGTTTAAGATGTTCTACGTTATGCATACTCAAGACAAGCAGTGATTTAACATATCTGAATCATTTGCAGAACGCTTGTTATTCATTAATCTAGTGAGCATTTATTATTCAGTTCATTCCTCTTATTTACTACTTATTTACTACTAATTTTTAGTAGTTTAGCACCATGTTCAGAAACAATAAGCTGCAATTAAGGATCAACTGAAAAAACAAAACTTTTAATTTCTAAAAAAGTATCTTTCAGTGAACAGTATTAGGCCTCACTATTTTAATGTGTGTAGCCAGTTTGGGTTTGCGGATAGTGCTTTTTCAAGACTATAACTACATCAAGACCTAAATATCAGACTAAGGTATTTTGATAGAGCAGTCATAGGAAATCATACAAAAAGCATTTCACACATTCAAAAATAGTCCTAGTAACTTCATTTGCTACAATTTACAGAAAATGCAGCAGACTACCACATCATCCCATCCATTCTAAAGTGTTATCGTACTGACAGATTAGTAAAGATAAAAAGTATGATGTAAGCTCCTTCCAGTCCTGACCCCCACTACCAAAGCATATTGGCATTAACATAACAATATGACCATTTACTGCTCTTCCAATACAATTTAATACAAACATTACAAATGTCCTGTTATCTGATTACTATAATTAACATTTAGTAAAACAAATAAATCAGTGCAAGCCAGAGGGGAGTACTTACAATACACATTATCCAGTCAAGCAATCTATTTAGCAGCATGTGTAAATGCTTCTTAACATAGATGTAAAACAATCTACTTCTACTGGCATCCTTTTTATGAGGTACATTTTGGTACGACCAGCAAAGAAAGCAATACTGTATGCATTCAAAACTGCTTCTTGACATTATGTTATACAGTTTTTTTAAGCTAAATTATTTATTGTAAGCATACTTCTTCAAAATATAAATATACATACACACGTATTAGTGTGCACATGCTCCAACACTGAACATAACCACCGTTAGGACAAAAAGGCAGATCACCCTCCGTAAACGTCATCTGGATGGCAACAGAATTTAATAATATGGACATGATCAGACTATGGCAATTGCCTGCGGGTCAAAGAGCTGATCTTAGCACTATTTAGTTTACTACAGATGTAGACACAGTAGTCCCAAATCAAAAGGCACTTTGCCACCTCTGAAACATAGCTAGATGTTACAAATAAAGTTGGTGCTATTCTCATCTGCAAAGTCCAAGGAGATTTTTTTTTTTTTTTTTAAACCAAGTTCACTGGAAATTCAATTAACAGAAAGTCTTTGCCAGCTGACAAAAACAGCATGGACATTGTCAAACTCGAACTTTGGACAATTTCCAAATGACTAGGGCGTTCCTCTCTTCCTAAGCAATTACTGAAAAGTTAAGTCCAATTGTGGAGAAATTTATGTCACTCACAAATGAAGTTTCAGCTTATTTTTCTCTAGAGTATTAAAAAAATGTATACTCAGAATACAGTGTCTCTTCATGGTCATTTAGAATACCATTCTCCACAAAATTAAGGAGCTATTTAGATTTTGATTATATTGCTGACAGTAATCTCTACGTATACTTCTGAAAGTCCAAGCACCATCTAACTAGTATTGACCGGAGTTTGACAGGGAGAGCTGCTTAGGTCCTGATCGGATTCGTGCTGATCTTCATGAGAACCCTGAAGAAGTTGCAGAGGACTCTTATCAGGCCTAACACTACCTTTCCACCAAAGGTAAACGAAGATTAAAATCATTAAGCGAGGGGTCCATAAATTCTATTTTATCCTTACAGTCAATAAAAATAGTCCTTGTCTCCCTGCTAATTATATCAACATCAGAGGAGCAAGCTGTTGCAATGACAGAAGCACTTTTAGATAAGTGTTCAAAAGCTCTTAATCTCCCCGGTTCTAGGAAAGATAAATAGATTCTCCTCAGACTAAAAACATTTCTAGTTTTGCATACCTAGCTTTTTGCACCCTGAGATTGCCTTACAACCAGCATACCATGCCATTGTATCATTGCTTCAAACATGGTAAGAACACACAGGCCATCATAGAGGAGTTTTACTGCTCTCATGAAGAATGTTTAAATAGTGAGAATTGCTACCACAGGAAGCAGGGCCTAAAGTTAAGTTATTTTTCAGGGAAAGAAACCGAAAAAAACAAAAATGTTTGTTTACTTTGTGGGAGGGGTCGTCTTTTTTCTTAAAAAAAACAAAACAAAACAAAACAAAAAACCACACACACACACAGCTGAATGCTGTCTATAACTATCTACAGCCTATGAGGCAGACCCATATCAAATGCTGACCAAGAAACATTCAAGTCCATGAAGACCAACACCTGCAACAGACATGAACAGGCAATTATAGCAGGAGCAGCACCACAGCAGTGTTCTATATTTGGAAGGGAAACCATGAAGAAGCAGTGTATTCTGTCAGCCAGAAATGAGCCTCACCTTGTCTATTCCTTACTTTCTCCATCTTATTTATTTCTTAAATCTTTATAATCTCTACTGCTTAGACAGATTCTTAAGTGACATATTTAATACTTTAATGCTTCTGTCTCCTGTTTATTAAAGAAGTAAACGTGCTTTTAATAATTTTAATGTCAACATGATCTCAATATTAAGGGAAGCCTTTAAAAGGTTTACAGAAAATGTAAGGAATGTACGAAATTCCACATAGAACAAAAATTCATGCTGAAAAAAAATGAGTAAGGATTTAAACACAAATCTACGTAATGCAAATAAGAACGAAACACCAAAGTACTATTTGAAAAGATAAATCAATATAAGTAAAACAATAAAAATATAAATCTCATAGTGTTTTTCTTTAAACTTCTAATAAATCAGTGGCTGTAGTAAGGAGATAGGACATGGGAGTCTTCAGCAAGACACATGGGAAGGATGTTTTTGCACTCTCTCTGATGTATAAGTGAGAAAGTTTACCTAGCACACAGGGTGTAAGGAGAAGTTAATGTTTGTAAAACACTGAGCACAAGAATAATACATTACTGGGGAGGAGCTAAAAGCCTTTACTGCCCCTCTTTAGTACCACTCAGGAAAGCAAGAGTCAGGCAACCCCACTGGAAGAGCAGCTACCAAGCAACTAACTAGTATCCAAAAATCACATAAGAAGTAACCACTGAGTATATGCAATCAGCCTGTCTACAGGCAATAAATTCAGGATTTGTTGGACCTACTGCACATGTACAGACCCAATGCACAGAGGCTGCACGCACCCTCAGCACAAAGCCACTGCAGAACTGATCTGCAAATGCTAAGCAAGTCTGACACCATCCACAACACAGTAGATTTACTATGTATATACAAAGCATCTGCACAGAGATGTTCAACAGCTCTGGTATAAAACACCTCAGTATCCATCCACCATGTAATATATATGCTCATACTTTGGTCCAAGAATTCGTGACTCTCAGAGAGAGAAGCCCTAAGCACACTCTCCCACGCTGCACCACACAGCCACAGCCTGGGTTTGGTCAGCCCCAAATTCAGATTAGGGTTGCATCTGCCCCCTTTCAGTACACATCAAAAGAACTGCCTGTCTTAACACTTGACCTACATTTTGCAAGCTCCAATATACATGGTTTTTTTGTGAAGGACGTCACCCCAAGTCCTCTCAATACTATTATATACTGGGTAAATGTGATAGTACTCTAATCTCCATAATCAGCTTCCAAACTATTGCTGTAACTGACCTTTAAAGCATAACACCTTTAGGTTTTATTTCTCATTTCAGTTTTGGGGAATATCACGAGCACTAAGATTTCATCCAAATGAAGCAGGAATTATCCAGGACAAATCTGCACTTAATTCTCAAAAGGGAGCATGGAGAAATGTATTAACTGTTTCCTGCTGGAGAAATGACTACAAGAGATTGAAGGAGTTCACAATTCAATTCCATTGCAAAATACTCAAAAAGGAGTAGGAATGACCACACATTTAATGGAGATCAAGTAATATGAGGATAAGGAAACCATCAAAAAAACAAATGAAGATTATAGATTGACAAAAACAAACAAAAAACCCAAAAATCCACAAATCAGTTCAATACTTTACTGATGTAACTTACACCACTTACTTCCTCCTCTAAAAGTTTTTCAGCTGTAATTATGCCAAGAAAACAGCAGTTTTCCTAACTGTAGGTTAAAGGCAACACAAGTATTTGTCTGGTAATTCCAAAATAGACAAAAATGTGCTCTGAGAGTCTTGAAAAAAATTATAAAAATATGTATTCATGTTCAATATTTGCACATCTTAATTTGGGGGCATTCAAATTCTTGAACAGCTTTGCAAATTAAATATCAGAATCAAAACCGCATCAATCACTATTTGTATTAAGAGTTTAAAATTGTCTATCTAAATTTTCCATTTGTTTTAACTCTCCAGTGGGGAAAAAATAACTTCAGATCTATTCTATCTTTTTCTAAATCATGCAATAAAAAAATCTGTACTTGTCTTTCAGCATACTATTTTGAACTGCCTTTTCCCATTGCCTTCCTTAGAGCTGCATCTCACTACTACGATCTTTAATATGTAATCTTCATAATTATGGATAAACCATTAACCTTCTGCAGCAGTACCTCTTTTACATTTCCACAGGTTCAACCAAAAATGCTAACACCTTGCACACTAAAAAGTATGCTTCATATAAGTAACACTGGCAATCACTTATTCAAGCACACAGTTATTAAAGGGCATGGGTTCATTATGTGGAATTTGACACTGAATGCAACACTATTCAAACATCGTTAAAGAACATGTCCAGGGCACCTAGGCCCTGGACATGTGGATGTATATGTACGTAACAAATAGCTTATAAAAGCCTTACTGACCTGAGTCCCCCAAGCAACCAGTGTCACATCACTGCCCGTCTGCAGCACCTCAGCTTGAGACAGCGGAATGTTGTAGGGCTCCACAGGGACTTGTTCCACTGAATAAAAAAGAAATAGAAAAACAAATATTAGATTCCTTTACTATTCAGTAACTTTCCAGAGAAATATATACTTAAAAAAATTAATGTTAATACCGTTTAAAGCAATAGACCAAAATCAAGTATTGTCCTTTTTCCTACAGATTTAGCTGTAATTAAACATTTTTTTTATTATACTGTATAGAATCTAATGTCATTTATTGCATCTAATACAGTAAACAGATGTATATGTACACTAGTACAGTAATAAGACTCAGTGTTCCGCAAAGTAAAAAAATATCAGCATCACATCTGGAGAGAGTCTCTGCTACACCTGATAAAAATCAAGTAAATATTGCATCTAATTCTAATATACATCAGAGCCTTTCATACTTATAGGAAAGGAAAAAAATTGTCAGCACTCTCCTGATATCTGCTAAAAATGGAGCTCCACATTTATATGTCAAAATGATAGGAAAAACAATTTTCAGAACCTACACAGAAGCTGCCTCCAGGAACCTCTGATTATAATAACTTTAAGTACCTCAAAATATTTTGCTTCGAAAAAACATTTTTATTCACCAAAAATACATTACCATTAAGGAAAGTAGGCAAAACTTAAGCATCTCTGCTTCTCTAAAATGTTTAAGATGGTTCCAGTCAACTTAGGAGCCATTTAATAGTTTTCAGGTGGAAACATCTTAGGACATTTGGGCTAGTTTTGAACCTATGCTCCCTGATCCTAAAGTTGAAACACTATATATTGACTATTTTAATGACTAAAGCAATGACAAAAGACATCCATATATCATATTTTAAAGAAATGCTTTATTTGGACTTAAAGGCGAACTTATTTATGCACCAGGAAATCAAATATTTTTACTAAAATAAAAAATTCTAGTAGTCAGGAAAAAAAAATTCCTTAACATTTTCTAAATACACAGTATCGATTTATAGAGAAGGTACTCTAATTTTTTGTTACCTATTTCATAGTGCCAAAAATAGTTATTCAGTTCCTGCAAAACAAAATTGCTTCTTGAAGGTATGATCAAGAACCCTATTGAGTGATATCCGTGGGATAAAGTCAAGCTTTTAGTATTTTACCTTCAAAAATTTCACATTCGTTTTCATATTCTTTCATATTTCATTAATATGAAAGATCCAATACAGATAAAGACTTGAGTTCTTCTTTCTAGTTTACATGTTATGAACATAATTTTAAATCTTAATAAATCACACTGTGAATAATTTTCTAAATTACAGCAGACAAATGTTATTGCCACTGATAATACACAAATGTTAACATTTCACAGAACCACAGAACGGTTGAGGTTGGAAGGAACCTCTGGAGATCATCTAGTCCAGCCTCCCTACTCAAGTAGGGTCATCTAGAGCAGGTTGCCCAGGACTGTGTCCAGACTGGTTTCGAGTACCTCCAAGGAGGGAGACTTCACAAGCTCTCTGGGCAACCTGCTCCAGGTTTTGACAAATCTCACAGCAAAACAGTTTTTTCTTATGTTTATGTCAGAGCCACCTCATTTTACCTGAAGGGGCACAGTGAAGAAACAAATTAAATCATTCTTACTCAAGACAGAACAGGAACTTTTCTTTAGCTTAATTCAAGAACACATGCCCATCAAGTCAAGGAAAAAAAATTTAAACACAGGATGCTTTTTAACATAGCACAAAATCAGAAGATACCTTTGCCAACATGTTTCTTAATGTATTGTTTTCAAATCGTCCTGCAACAATTTATTTGAATGACCAACGGCTAAAGGAAAAATGGGGCACAGAAAGAAAGAGAAAGGCACAGCCAGTCTTTGCTCACATCATTAGCACATCGCACATTACTGGCTGACAGTAAAGCAGGTCTCGATTTTGTCTAGATTTTGCACATAATAAAACCCTCAGGCAAAAGACAGGCAAGGTACCGAAAGATAACGAAGCCAACAACTATAGTATTTGCATCACATAACTGTCTTTTTCATGGAATCACCATCCACACAAAGCCTGGAGAACAAGGACCTTATAAAGATACCACAGGCTCTTCAAGTGAAAACTCAGGCAACTTGTAAGATTTAGAAGTGACAGTCAGATGCCACCAGGGGAAGAATTGGAAAGTGCATGTGAAACAAGAGCTCCTTCTCCATACAGTGGTTTAATATATTTACATATATGAAATATAAGATACAATTACACAAATCAGTTTATTTCTTGTTACAACTAAACCATTCTGCAACAAAATATCTGTTGGATGAGCTTATCTGGAATTCCTGACATTTTCGAATGCATAGTTCAGCTTACCAGAAAACTTTAAGAGAAGTCTGCATTTGACAGGCTTTTATTTGAATGCTTTTGCAAAATTCCTCCCTTCCACTAGCAATGATGAAAAACAGCATCTGAAATTATTCTGTGCATTCTCTTCCATAATAATCAAGCAAACCAGGACAAAGATGTTTATATACAAAGCAGCCTTTCATCTATTAATGAATGCATCAGTAAAATATTGTAAAATAAACATTTCAAACACAGATTTCAAACAAAGCAATTAACAAAAAGTTGTAATTATCAAAGAAAAAAGGCCATCACAAATTAAACCTAAAAGAGGCTGCACCTTCTGTTGCTTTTTCTGAAAGAACAGTCAGAACATTGAGAAGAAAACATATGTTGTTTCACCTTACCTATCTTGTCTCTATAACAACCATTGATGCAAGCCGTATTCATTTCTACACCGATGTCATATATAGTACAATTAAATGAAACTGAAAAGGTCAAAAACACCAGACTAGGTTCTCCACAAGATGTCTAAACCTGATAATGTCAAGGTGACTCATCTTCTCCTTTGATTCATAATCATTATGTACTCTTGAAACTGCACAGGCGGTTAACTACTTTTTAAAAATCAAAGCCTCCTCTTTTTTTTTTTTTTTTAATTCAGATATTTTCTAAGCATCTCTGACATTTAGGAGGATGTCACCATGGCACTTTCAATAACGTTATAGTCTCAGAAGTTTAGCAGAGACACAATTTTATCTTTTTATATATAGAATATAAAAATATATATATAGTGTGTGTATATATATGTATATAAAACTATATAAATAGAAACACTAGACTTTTACTCAGAAAGGCTTGCATCTCTTTGCTGCTTTCCAACTTTCTAAGGCAAAGGAATACTTACTTGGAGAGTAAATGCATATATAAAACATCTCCAATGGCCACCACTGCACATACTCAAACAAAACACTGCCACTGAACAGTAGTGATCTCTAAATATAATCATACCTAAGAATAACACAGTTCACAAAAAGATTTGAAGTAAATGCTTTTTAAAATCTGAATCCTTTATGATATTGTTACCTATAAATCTGAAATAAATCAATTGAAGTACACTAACTACACTTCTGAAGAGATGATAATAAATTCTAGATTTTTTACCTGTCTTTACACAAAAAGGTTGAGGTACATATATAAGGCAAGTAACACAGAAATCTTCCTGAAAGCACCCAATAGAAAAGTCAAATCTATCCTGGAAACTGTGTAGCACCGCTAGACCGGCAAAGATCCTCCACTCAATTTTGAAAGAAAAAGAGCTATTCAGGAGGAGAAAAATTGATTTCCTGCTCTTTTTTCTACACGTACAACCAAGATGCTCATGGCTCTGCTGTAACTGTTCAAGCAAGTAGCCAGAGAGCCAGAGTTAGCCCTCCAAAGAGCCTAGGCACATTAAAGAACAGCAAGTCCTTAGCTAAAAAAACTGCTAATAGTTGGGGAAACCGGGCATGAAAAGCCAACAGTCCTCCCTGATGGCTTGGCCACAGAGGCAGCCCCTTCACTGCTTCAGCGTAGGGGAAGGAAAAAAAAAGTAATTAGTAGCTACAAATATTCATATTGAGAAGCATATTTCTTTTTCCTTCCAATTCCTTCCTAACAGATATTTTATAGCACCTCAACTGAAGAAAGAAGAATTGGAAGGATACAGAAATTCCTACATAGGCATTTTTTCAGATTAGTTGCCCATCAGAGCTAATGCTGAATACAACACTTGTCAAATGTATTTCATTCACGTAAAATACTCAGTTTGTGTTTTGTAATTTTTTAGATCTACTATTAACAGAATCTCAGGTGAGATTTAAGATCTTAGCTTTAATTCCCTTCTCAAGGTCCTCAAGTTCCCTCCATTTTGTGTTAATATTGCTCTCGCATAGCTAACATGCAAGTTGGAACGAACTGGAAAATGTTTTAAGACACCCTTGGCAAGTTGTGCTTCACTTTGGATGTTGTCCTTTCTCTCAGGTCATCACAACATGGATGTGGTGACCTTCAGGCAATGCTACTGTGACATCCATCTCTCAGCTGGGGATGACTAAGTATGGTGAAGATTTTGGTGCCTGATTTTGCTCTTGTATTCTCTGTGGGCAAAGGCTTGTTTGGATAGCAAATATTAATACAGAAATTAATGTTCATTTAATAAATATTTAGTTTTACCTCATGTCTGAACAAACACACAACATATTTGAATAAATAAACCTGTATGCATTTGGGAAGACATCCACCTTATTTCATTATTCCAAAAAAATATTTTAAAGCAACTTTGAAATTAAGCAATTGCAGTATCCATGTGATAGTCACATTGAAATATTTTGCATTACAGCTCTATTTCACCTAAGAGACAAGCCTTATGTCTCAAAAATTTTGAGTATTAAAAAAAAAAAAAAGATTAAGTATGTACTGTTATGAAAAGCTACCCTTGAACCTTGAAAAGCCTGCTCTGTAATCAACAAATCCCCAACTGTATGTTACAATTGGCATTGGAAATACTATTTGAGAGCAACTGGTGGAGTACGCATCTAACGCAAACATTACAAATTTTGATCTGCCTGAGAGCTTCTACAAAACAATACTGATCTGGCATGCTGCTTAGCATTATCAAAAAGCAACTTCAAGTTTTACGCCCTACCTAAGCTAAATGTATATTTTTATCTTCCATCACCTGCATGTAACAGTGAATTTTGATGACATTAGCAACATGTAGGGGCAGAAGCAGAGGGGCAGAAGAGTTTTTACAAACCATCAGTAGCTGCTACTCACATGAAAAAGGATAAATGATCTTGTGTTTTAAAGACTAGCCCATTTACTGTCTATTTTCATCTGAACTTTCCAAGATATTAACATCTCTGAAGAAAACATCATGGATAGCTGTTTATGGGTCCCATAGGGAGAGAGAAAATTCCATTAAAGGAGGATGATGGCGCTCAAATACCTATATTCATTTTACAAGTAGAAAAACTACCCTCTGTTACCTTGATTTTTCTGATGCTATCCCTAGGCACCCACTGTGCCACATCAAGCATTAAGTTCTCTGCAAAAAGACTGTCTTTTCACAGGAAATTTGAACTAGGAATTTTATATTAGTGCCAACACAATTTTATTATTCAGAGCCTTAACCATCATTATAAAATCAAAGAAAATGAATTTTTGTCTGGATTTGATAGTCTCTAGTCACCAGAACAACAAAGTCCAGTTCGAGAGTTAACTAGGCATCAGTCAGGCTGTAAATGTTCACTTGTCTTTGCATCCAAATTATAGACCTTACCCAGTTTTCACAGTTCCTTTAAGAACACAGCCACCAAACAAATAAAATGGAGATTAAAAAGTACATTTCGAGACTTCTGCTACACTATCAATTTAGCTATGATTACATAAATATAAGTGCATAAAATAAATAGTATTTTATTGGAAAATACAGCACATAAATGTTTTACCTGCAGCTCGGTAAAGTATTTTAGGTTCAAAAAATATGCATGGATTTTTGTCCTCTATGCACGATAGCAGCAATCCTTTGGCCTGAACAGGACTTCTTGGAATAACAATCTGTGAAAATATTTTTTTAAACTTTACTTAAAATGTAATTCTGCCACAAGCTTTATCAATTAGCATTGCAGTGAACATAAAATATGAGTAATGGCTTGCCTTGAATAAAACTGCATAGAGACTGAGCAGTCCTGACAAAATACATTAACATCAACGTTACATTACGAAGATGGACTCCAAGTTTTGAATTTTTTTTATTTTGTTCATCAATGAGGCATCAATAGTTATTTATATGGATTCCCCTCAGATCCGGTAGAATTCACAGGTTTCCATAACATTTTGAAGTAGACTGAAGATAAGAAATCCTGTCAACTTCAAAAACTATTAAAGAGTTACTTCAGGAAAACACAGATGACATATGAAGTATTCAGCTGAGTGATCCTGAGTTGTTTGGGTAAAGACAAAGCCAGTGGGACCTGGAAGGTCTTCAAAGTTAGCACAGAAAAGTTTGAAAATTGAAAAAGGAAATAGTTATTTAGAATTGATTTCCTTTACTTACGGCAGAAAGCTGGAATTTGTTGGGTTTGGAGGTCCAAAACTACCTGAAACTATTATTAAACAGGGAAAACTGTAAGGGCTTCAAATGTAATTTAGATATTTGGAATAAGCCAAAGGAAATGAAATAGAATTGCTTTGCTAAAAGAATCGGTAATTATGGATGATCTAGATGTAGTTCCAAATCAAATTCACCTAATCTTTCAGCAAAGAGAGTGTTGATTATGATAATGAACAGAAAATTATCAAATTGTCACAGTCTAAATGTAAATGAAACCTAAAAGAGCTCAGTTCCCTCAGATCAGAAGGGCCAATTAATTTGCACCTCAGACACTACAGAAAGCTACCACATGCAATGTCAAAAGTCTGCTTAATAGCTATGAAATTATAATTGGTACCATCTGATCAAAACCATCAATTGCAGTGCCTTTTAAAAATAAAAATAAAATTGATAGAAAAGTAAAAGGAAAGTGTCAAAAAACAACCCGACATTATCAGCTATCTAAAATTTCAATTTAATTTGATAATTGATTTTTTTAAACAAGGGAGGTCTAATCTATTTAAACTTTAACAAAGCATTTAATAACTGATATAGGAAATTATCAGACTGAATGATGTTATTAGTGTAGCTTCTTAGGCATTGCTTTTAGGACCAACTATTTACCTTATGCATTTATGATATTTAGGTCAGAATGTGGAATGGATAGTGTATAATATACAAGACAGTTGTCACCAATACAGGGGTTGATACTAAGGAGAAAGACCTGGATCACGTGATTTGACAAAAGCAAAAGAAAACTGAACAACATATAGTGAAAAGTTACGCATATAGGGACTAAGTTTTTGCTATAAATTTAGAACTCAGCAGCAGAAATTCAGACAAAGATCTGAATCTATTATTTGCTCAAAAGATGGTACGACCCTATGTAGTACAACCATTAAAAAGCATAATAGAAACAAGGAAGTACTACTGCTATTGCAAAAATCACTGCCAGAATACTTTGTGACTATATCATCTGTTTTCAAAGAAAATGAAAGCATACAGGTACCAAAAGAGCTTCAGAAATTATTTAACCTGTCTTCAGTAGTTCAGCTTGTTTAGTCTAACAAAGCAAAGACCAAAGGGAAAAAAGTAGTTCTGTTAGTATATGGAAGATAAGAAGATAAAAGACAGATAAGTTAAAGATACAAGTTAGTCATGAACAAATTGAAGCTGGAAACAAAAAAAAGTTTCTAGTTGCTATGGCAAAAATTGTGGAGCAATCTCTCAATGGAATACAAGGAGTCAACAAGATAATTTTAGGAAAGTGTTTGATCCATTAAGTTGCTTTCAAGAGCAGACAAAAGATACAATGATCCAATGTCCTCGTTATTCCAGCAAGTCTTCTGTTAAGCACTAATAATTACAGCCCCTCTTGCTGAAGAGTGGGTGTTGTGCAAATGCTACATTGCCTGGAAAATCCAAACCTCATCTTTCACCTAAGGAAAGACAGTATAACAACCTGGAGTCAGGAGCCAACTGTATAGCTTCGTAAGAAAGTAGTTTGGAAAAACTCCCTACCGAAAGATGCATCCTACCCTCCCCAGTTTGAAATACTTTTTTCCCCATAATTTGAACACAATATGCACAGATATGGGACTTCAGCACAGGCATCCGAATCTCAACTTCATTTGGATACCTGGACACACACATTAAGTACTGGGTACATACGAAAAATGGCCTGCAAATTTGAAGATAAAGCCTCCGCTGAATTAACATTAACATACCACCACTAGCACATATCTATGAAACACAGACAGGTTTCAATTTTGGTAAAGAAGCGGTAACTGTTTTAAACAGTATTAACCGCACTAATGAACATCCTTGCAAAAATTAAAGGAGTATGTTGTTTTTAAAGATGCAAAATTCAAAAGAGGTGGAGTCAAAAATATTTCTCTGCACTTCAAGAATATCAGTGCATTGATTCATCAGTACAACAGAATTCAACATCAATTTTGAGACACAGTTGTTAGTGGTAGCAAGATGTTTTAGCACTTCACCCCAAGGAATTTGTTCTCTGGGTTCCTTCAAGCCCTCAGCAACTTGCTCTTCCCCTCAGTCCCTATGGCTTCTTCCAAATCCCACTGCAGATAGGTTTTCCTGAGTGGCACCAGCAAGCCACACACCAGCAAGCTTGTGTCCTATTCATGCACCCCTCCTCTCATCTCATCCTTGAGAGCTCTGATTTACAGTATATGATGCTGATCGGGAAGGGTATTTTCAATACATACATCTATACCAAAAGAAGAAATATATCAAAAAAAAAAAAAGCAGCAAACGATGAGAAAAAAAGAAATGAAATTATGTAATAAAATTAAATTCTGACTTCCTAACTTATTCGGGGGACTAAGTACAGTAATACTAGATTGCACTAGATTAGAAAGGAAATTTTATTCAGAGTGGACCACAAAAATCTCTGCATTTTGTTCAGTATAAAGATATAAGACTTATCCACCAGATCAACATATATTACCTATATCCGTCATCAGTATCTCACTGAACACTAGAAGTTGACTTGTTCTTCTATATCATAATAAACTACTGCAGTTTTTAAACAAGCTCAAGAAACTATTTGATTCTACTGCATTGCAGAAGACTTTGTAGTTTACTTTTGCCTATACAGGGAAATATGTTTCAAGTTCAGTATAACAACATTTCAAAGACTATAATCTTGAGTTAACTAACACTAGTTTGAGTGCTCCGCATAGTGCTCTGTGAACAAAACACTAACAATTCAATTTTCTTTCCTGCTTCCCTGTTTACAACTAGTGGATCATCAATTTAATAGTCATTTTCTGAACCAAGCTTTCTTTGAAATGGTTCACTTGATTTTAAGCCTGTTTATTCTGCATTGACAAATTTTCCTCCCAACACATGCAGCTGTTGATTTTTCCTAGCAGCAGCAACTAAAGTCAGAATCAGAACTTTGCTGCAGTTACAAAACAAGACTCTAAAGCACCTGAATTCCCTTAAGAGATTATACTGAAAATGTCTTCAGGGAAATTGTATGTGTTTCAGTTCTTAATTACTTTCATTTTAGAAGCTGATAGGATATTATAAGATATTCAAGAAATACTGTGCAATGAAACAACACCCAGAGGAAAAAAATGCATTTCATTACTCAAATATCATGAAATAAAATGCGAATAACATGCAATAAAATGTGACTAGTAAGATTTTGATCTTTTTTTTGGTTTGTGTAGGTTTTTGGATATCTTTTATTTGCTTATTTGTTTAAGTAAAGGGAAACAAGCAGGAGAAAAAAGAGTGTAAAAGAGTAACTGTAACTTTTTACAGTGTTACCCACTGTACAAGAGTAACATCTGAAGCTCTGAAAACACCAAAATCATGTATAGATAGTATTTTAACACCAGGTAAACAATGAACACTCGTCTCCAGCACACAAATACTATTTTTGCTTCAAAGTCATTCAGATTAACCAACCTATGAGTCATTTTTTTCCACAGGGGACTGGATACCAGTTAATCCAAATGTACAAGATCATAGACAAAAATTTACTCAGGAAGAATGGAGAGCTGGCAAACAGCACTCTCTCAGGACAGATGTATTGATCTGAGCTGACCAGATCTCCCCCTTCACCACCTCTCCCCCAGGAAGTCAGTCTAAAAGCTAGGATCCAACTTTCAAGGGATACCACTTTATCATGCAGAAAGTTTGCCTTAAGTTACCATTCACATAAAGTAATTTGATAATGCATTTAGGAAAACAGATTTAAAAAGTATTAATCATTAATATTAGTTTTTACCTTCTATACTGTACTGGATGCAGAACAAAAGTAAAATGTATGCTTTTCAAGCATAAAGCACACAGATACAAAGTGTACTAACTAGACAGGTCCAGATTACTTTAATGACGACTATAAAATCCCAAACTTTTGATATAGTTTAAGTTTTATAAACTGAAAACTAAACAGTTTTCAGTTAACATGTTTGATGCAAATTTTGCTATGTGCTTTGCTACTCTATTAGTCTTAATATAGTTTATGATTTGAAATGTAAGTCTGCTCTCCTTCATTTCTAACCTCCTTTCTTTGCATGCACCGAGATCTATCATTAGTCAGGTTCAATAAAAAGGAACCTTAGTAAAATAAAGTAAGAGTTATCATACCTTTATTCCTGGACAGTGAGCAAAAAAAGCTTCCGGACTTTGAGAGTGATACAGCGCACCGTGGCCCACACAACCCCAGGGGGCTCTGATGGTAAGACTACCACAGTTAAACAAATCTCCAGAGCGGTAACGATATTTTGCTGCTTCGTTAACAATCTGGAGGAAAAAAAAAAAAGCCTTTTATATACGATAGTAACATTCAGTCTATTAACTTTAACTATGTATCAACTTCTATAATACATGAGGTAATTTACACCATCTACTTCACGCAGGTCAGTCAGAGGACCAAATCAGAAGCAAAAGAATCCTGTAAAGTCAGTAGAAGAGCAAGCGTTTTCCAAGAGAAATGAGGCAACAATTTAGAGTACTCAAATTAGATGTCTGAAGAGTGGCCACAGAGCCCAGCAGTTTTCCCATATAAGTCACCATACTGTCCACCAACCCAGTTCAAAGACTTATTTTATCAAATGGCCACATAACGGGCTGTAACAGCATAAAGAAGTGGGAGGTCATGTTGGAAAGGTACAGCTGCAGAATTTAAGACTGCTTAAACCAATACAAAACCAAAAATAAAAACAAACGAGAAGATATTTGCTTCAAATAGCACCTTTAATTTGCATTATTTATTCAGCCCTGAGCCTAGCCACTGTACCTTCCTGTTTACTTGAAGCATCCATTAATATTAATAATATGGCTGTGGATATATTTGCTAAAATAGTAGATTAAAACCAAGCATTAATACTACAGGAAGAGTCATTTAAACAGTCATAAGATTTTTTTTACTTTATTTACTAGTACTAACCTGATCAAATGCTGGAAAAATGTAATCTGCAAATTGAATCTCTGCAATGGCTGTAGCACCTGCAACAGCAACTCCAATCCCAAAACCAACAATTCCTTGCTCACACAAGGGAGTGTTGAAAACTCTGTCTTTACCTACAAAAGAAGAAACAATTCCTTTAACATACCAGCAATAAGTGGAAAACACTACCTTTAGCCCCAGAAATATTAAAAGTTTCAAACAAATCATCTGCAGTTAAGCATATGGCCCTTCAGATGGGCTTTTTAGGTCTAGCAACCGTAAGCATCACAGGTAATGATTCTTTCACTCTATTTTGTAACAGCTCAGAGGAAGACAAGGACAAATAAACGCAAGATATGAACAGTTTACGTAACTTACAATATTCTTATTAACACTTTAAAGAAAATATTTTGTTCTGACGTGCACATAGATAAGCGTGCATACCCACGGTTATATGGGAGGAGTATGGAATACTTGCATGTTTTTAGAAAGCTTACTATAGAGAAGTATTGTTAATTCTTCCCCCGCCACATGCCTTTCAGACGGTCAAAACGATATGTCCATGATAAACACAGGTTGACTGACCAGGGCATCTGTATGAAAGTATACTGTCACTCCACATGAACAGAGCCCAGTGCAACATGCTTGAGACTGCACTTACCAAAACATTTAGTTTGTCTCCTGCTATTGAAGGCACAAGACTGGAAATCAAATATTCTATTTTCTACATCTAACTTTCACCATGAGAATGTGAAGAGGTCATTTTAACCCTGACATATTTCTGTGCTGTTTTCAAGTACTAAATATGCATCAGTCTAAGAGATAACTAAAGATAATTCTTCAATTCATGAAATAATTAAAAACAAAAAAAAGAAAGGTGATGGTGTTTAAACACCACTACAGTTTCTTCCGTAAGATATAGTTATATTATTTGCCAGCAGTACTCTACTACCTGGGCAGATCAACACTAGACTTAGCAATGCTATTAAACTTTCCTTTTTCAGCAGTGAGAAACAAGACAGCAGGCTTCTGTAGGCATGTATTACTATCATGCATGAATACGCCAAGACTTCAAACTGAATGGAAAAAAGTGAGCATGCTGCACACAGTGGCTACGCAACAAACTATTAATAACTAAACAATTACTAAATAAATAACAAACTAATAAAGAAAAACATTACAACAAAAACTTCTAATTTCAACAGTTGAAAGCTGATAAACTAGGGAAAGTGAAGAAAGCAAAAGGTTTTAGAAAGGGATAGTAAGAACTGAACTGTTATTCACAGCTATACTTATGATACACTAAAGGTAGGCATGTTTTATTTAGTATTAGAAGTGTTTCATCTTCACTTCTCACCCAGCACAGCATTGTCACTGCTTGGACAGCGTGCATGTGCTTTACCTGGTCTTCTGAGTTTCATACTTCAAGGGTTACTCTGCAGGGTTTTTTTGACAAACCAGGAATTAGTTTTTCGTTCTCCCTCTACTTCCTCCCTTTTCCTTCCAGCAAGAATGTGACTAAGACACCATACCTTTCATGCAGGGTTTCAAAAAAAAAAAAAAAAAGAGCCACCCAATGATATTAAAATTTTAGTATTGTCAGTAAGGCTACACAAACCACCCACAAGTCTGAAGGGCTATCACAACTGCAAGATACTCTACAATTTTGCACACAACAGAGTGAACATTTTCAAATAGCTGAAAGATTGGGGATGGGGGAAGGCACCATTTTCTCATCTTTGTCATTCTGAACTTCCACATCTTCTACTCATTTCTCATAAATCACTGTTTCAAACACAAATCCTAGTAACCTTGAGTATTTTTAAGATACACGTCCTCTTTGCTGCTTCTTATTTCGAAATTAATTCCCAAGGAAGTTTTAGCTGTCATTTCTTCTGCCCTTGCCATTGGAGATAAGAGTGTTATCAAAGCCAGCTCAAAAGAAAAAACTGAATTCCAGATTAACAAAATTATTGCACAGCTCTTGAAAGAAGTTATTTTGTCTCTCAGATGTCCAACAGACCTCTGGTATGACTCTGATCAACTCTGAATCACAGTAAAGCGTCTTGCAGGTCAGAGAACACTTTACAAGAAGAAAAAGCAACTAGCTCTTGTTCCCAAGATCATATATGAGCAAGTTGATCAAAGTGTTTTCTAGGTGTGGGTCAGCTGTACTTTGTTTCACTTCTCCTGGGAGGGGAGAGAAAAAAAAAAAATACACGCAAATAATCTGTGTAGTACTGTGGTTGAAAGCAGCCTATAATTTAACAGTCCTAAAATGATGCACGAAGTCAGAATTACAGTAACTTAGTAATACTACCATTTAGTGTTGCTGGGTATTTATTTTACTAGTGTGCCTTAGCAATGCTACTAGCTGGTATATTTCTATTCTGCCTGTGTTTGTACTACCAGTTTGCCTGGCCCTGTAACTGTGTAAAAACAGGCCCAGCCCTGAAAGCCTTCCTTTCTAAATAACAGAAAAAGACAACAGAACGCTCTGGGAAATCTGGAATTAGGCAAGATCTTAATTAGAAGACATAGTTTGTTTTTATTTTCTCCATAAATTACACTCACTTCTGACTGACGTCAAACATTCCTCAGCTTTACCGCTGAGAATGCTAATAAAAGTGTTTCAAAAACGCATCAAAAAGGAATTACCTCTTCCCTTAAGAGCTGATAAAAGGGGGAGGATTTCAAGCGCATCAGGACTATTCCTGTCCTACGGAGAAGGCAGCATATTGGCTTTCTGGGATATTTAGTCCCATTTCTACATGAGTAGACAAGTCCATAGGATGGAGAAGGATAATGACACCACAGAAAGGTGAAGAAAAGAACCGAGGAGAACACAGGATTATTTTTGAAACTAGAGACTGTACACTATTTACATAAATTGTTCTCTTTCCTCAAAGATGGCTGTACCCGAGGTTTACTCAGAGGCATCCCAGCCTCTGCTTTGCTAATCATGCAGGTCTCTTGAGTCAAACAGGCCTTGGCTACAGCCACCAGCACCAATCCCAACTGCCTTTAACTGGCCAAGCACAGACTAAGCATCTGTGCTCCTATTGCTCAGGACCTAGGATAATCCAATGACCAGGCAGCTTTCTTTAACCAAAATACTTTTTAGCATAGCATTGTCGGAGAAAGGAACATACCCAGCCCAGGCCCACGTGTATCAGCCCCATGTCTCACCGCCCTCTGAGAATCTGGGGAAGCCCCATTTCAGACACAATCCAAAAGCTGGCTATACTATACCCATCTGCACCACTGTAAACAACAGACAAACATCTCCTCCCCTCTAGATTTAATCTAGGGTGCCTTGAATTACACATCATATTTCCATTCTCTTTCACTGAAATTTCACTAAATTTTTATTTAAAAACTACCCATATTTTAATACACTGAAAATATATTAATGTTCAAGACACATTATGCTTTCTTACTTCTTAGAAGTCTATTGGCAGATCAGTCTATTTAACCTCATTTGCTTACTTGAACTTTAGACCATATACAGGTAATTCTTCATTACACCTCAGAGGTGCCTGAAAACCAAGTACGTTAGGAAGCACAACTCAGTAAGAAGTTGAAGGGTGAAGCTGAAGCCATTGGATTTTAACTTCTCACAGTTTGCCTGGAGTGTGCTATTCCACTTAGTTAAGATTCCTCCCTCTCACACACCGCACAGGTTACCAAAATTGAATTTATGAAGCCAAGTCACGAACGCAGCACAGATATCATAAGGATAAAATACGCTGGCAAACAATCCCAGACACATAAGAAAAGGATCCAAGATGTTCCCGTATCAGCTAAAAAAGTAGAACAATAAATAAGCAGGAAGAGTTACCCTCAATATATGGACAAAGCAATGATTTAACTGATAGCAAAGCAATGCTGTGTGGTGGGGTAACATAAGTGAAATGTCAGCAGAGAAAGGTATGACTTGTTATAGAAAATAAAAAGGATGCCAGGCAGATGCTTTGATATAACCATCTTCTCTGAGCGTGAAAAACAAAATCAGGAAATAAAAAAACAGGTAACAGGAACAGGATATTCAGCAGTAAATAACTGGTAATCAGAATGCAGATTATAAACATAATCAGAAAAGAAAACACTGCAAAAATTAAGTTATAGAAGAGACTGAAGCAAAAACATCAGTTAATTCATGATAAACTTATACTGAAATCAAAACAGTCAGTCACCACTCTCTTCTTCTCCACATAAATTTCTATTACGTTTTAACACATACTAACTTACTGAAATGCAAATGTAAGCCTGTTTTAAAACTCTACCACATAAACTATATAAAAAATAGAATAATGTCAGAAAAGAATAAGAACAAAACAAATATTGTTGAGAAGGGCCTAGAAAGAGAAACTCAGACCATACTAAGCTTACCTAATCTTATTCTTTATTAACAGCTGAAATAGCATTATATACTGGTTCTATAAATAAGCTTATATCACTCTCATGCTGAAATGTATTTGAACTGTAAAATGAGTTTCAGCTAATAATCTACAAAAACTTTTACATGAAATGTTTAATATCAATTTAGGGTAGGTGAGTGAACTTAAAAGCTTTTTGGATCCACCATACTAATATTTCTCGGTATGATTTGAAATATAAAAGACACCCAAACAAAAGACTCAAGTACTATTGAGATATTAAATTAGAGACAGCATGGTGCTATCAAAGGAGTATGACAAAATAAACAAAGCCAAAAATCAGTAAAAGCAAATATGAAATATAACGTGACCGTTACAACATGAACAACTTGAAGGACCTAATTTGGACTTTCAGAACTAAAGGCATAAGTCTGAAGTGCTATAGCTTCAAAATTCTAAAGACAGCTACCCTGAATCAAACAAAAAGGGCTAGCTGATACTCACTGAACAAAACTCCTTTCACTCAGGGATGTTTTTGAATTCACATGCAGAACAATGATACTGATCCCTTCTTACAAGCCTAACCTAAAGCACAACTATTCTATTGATCAGATGGTGAAAATAAACTATGGCTTTGGATAGATTTTCAAGAAGTGTTTTTTGTTGTCAACAAAATTTGACTGTTTAAGACAAGAGGTTATACACAACATTAGAATAAAACAAATCTATTAATTTCCCTGAACAACGAAAATAGT